GACAAGAAAATCGTTAAATGATTTGGTACTCTGTGGCACTTGTTGTGCCAGTTTGTTACCCACTTGTGAAAAGTACGAGTTAAAATTTTCAGCGATTGTATCAGCATCATCGGTGATAGTATTATTGGTTTTGATTTTTGTTATTGCTGATCCTTTTTTCTTCTTATTTAATACACCATTAATGATTTTCCATGTATTCTTCATATCATTTTTGTACAAATTGAGTTGTGAAGTATAGTATTCTTTTTTTGAAATACGTAATAAAGTGGTAAGGGTGTTTTTATATAATGTGTACTTAGAGCGAGATTCGTCACTTGGTTTTGTAATATATTTATAATACAAGTTATTCTTGCGGTTGATAGATCTTAAAAGCGATTTTGTAATCCAAGGATGAATTGGGATCTTTTTATAGTTTGATCTCCGGTGGGTGGTGAGGGGAACATGAGTATTTAAAGACGCTGTAAGCTTATTGATAAAGAAGTCGTACGATTCATCAACATCTAATGAATCAAAAACGTTCGACCAGTCTATTAAGTCTAAATCACTGATTAAATTAGTAATATTATCATCAGTTATTTTGCGATATGGAGTAGTGATCGTCGCTTTTTTGACAAGTTATATTATTACCACGGTCATCGGATTCAGGCTTACCCGCACACAATGTATGCACATTTTCCACTCCCTGGGGAGCATTCCAGCCAGTCGCCATTTTACAAGCGCACACTTGCTCGTCCAACCACATGAACGTTCGCATCCTACCGGGTACCCATTTAACGTATCAGAGATTTCAGCTTCATTTCCAAATGAAAGCGCTTTAAAGGATCAGGGTCCTGTTCTAGTGTGAAGTGTTCCTTTATTTTACAGATGTTTACATTATTGACAATTCACCGGAAATCATGGATAGAGTACCAAATGACCTTGTATATTTTGTGATACAACAAGGAGATCAACATGGGACTATGTTAAACATATTTCTTTCCAATTTCCTCGTTGCTGCTAAATCTGTACATGAGCTTTAACAAGTAACCATTGAAAAAATGATTGATGATTAAAAGATGAAAAGCCTTGCGTAATGTAGAGTGTCACTTTTTCTCATTATCCTCGCCTCAAGAATTCATTCTATTTTGCAAAAATACCCCCTCCCCTCCCCTCCCCTCCAGATTAACACTTCAGACTATTAAGAGCTGTTCATCTTGATTCCAATTCTTTTGCATGCCCCATTTAATCGTAAGCAGAATTCCCTCACACATGACTTGCAGTGTGAGAATCGCACATCTGCCGTTTTTTCTTCTTCAGACGATGCAGAAAAGAACACAGCTTGTTTATGATTGAAAATAGAGCAGCCGCATAGCCTACATTCAAAGATGGCCATATATGACCTCTCATTCACACTACCGAGATTCAGTGCATGGCTATGTGAAAATCAAATACCATTATTAATTAAATATTCCTAGTCTGAACTGAACATTGCATATTGAAACATATAATGAAACGTTTGTTAGAGCTTCGTTTCAAACGAAAACTCAGTAAAAACAATCAGGGTCCTGTATTCGTCTGAACATTGCATTGTATGAAAATTGTATAAGTGGGTGGGGCTTATCGTTAGTCCACTGCTGATTGGCTGACTGTCATGTCAAGTTGTCACCTGATGACCTCTTCAAAGCTAGTTTCTTTATACGATGTTATTTTCCAGTCTGTATGGCCCTGGTGTATCGCTATGTGGTGATTCATGTGATACAATATTACAATTAACGTTTTGTTAAACGAGTTTCGTACAAATTTGCTGCAGTCTGAACAGACTATATGCTGTATACAAGCATGTGTAGAAAACGTGAATGTAGTGTAATGGTGCACAATGAAGTAGAACTTGATTGGATTTGGAAGAGAGAATTTGCTTGCATGAAATTGATATACAATTTTGCTGTACATGTGTGCTGACACCAGAAGGCCCTTAACTCTATGTAAAATGAATAAGTTTTTTCATTATTATCAATACATTTATGCTTCAATTGAACTTTTAACAATATGATTTTACAAAACCAGGCCTGATTTTATCCTGATTTTTTCAGATTTTTACCCTTATTTTCTCTATTCTTCCCTATTTTTTCCCTATTTTTTTCCCAATTTTCTTATTTAAAAGGAGGGGGTTGGGGATGTTGTTAGATGCCATTTCCCCCCCTGAATCCTCTTCTTTCATTTTTTTACTCAAGGGGGGCGTGGTTAGGGGGGGGGGGGGGGGAGTGCTCACTATCACCCCTGCAAAACTCAGAATTCTATTACCATATTATGCATTTTAAAAAAAACTAGGATTCTCAATGAAAGGAATTAGTCTCTTTGCGCTATCTACATATGATGTAGAACAACAGTGGTACAGCTGCATTTTCATTTAATATATAAAATAAACTAAAATGTCCACTGTATGTGTATTTAGATCAGGGCACTATTTCAGCAAACTTCTTATCAATAACAAATGCTGAAACTCTATAAAAAATTGCTATCAGCCCATCAAATGCAATGATTTCAGTAGCTTATAACAATCATTGTATCTTGTTATTGATAACAATTGTTATGAAACATGGCCCTGATTGCTAAGCCTGTGTGTCTGTAGCTCGAAATCCATATTGCATTTTTCTATTGTGTTTGATATTTATATGCAATACCAGTAAAACTGTGTGTGTGTAAAAATCACACAAAAATGATAACTGTATGTACAGTACATGAGCAAAATGTGTGGAATACACTGTATATGATTTCCTAATGTAACAGTAATATAATGCAATTCATGATGATGCATAATTTAAGCTTATCCATGTACATATATACCCACAAATATATGTGTTTGATATTTATATGCAATACCAGTAAAACTGCGTGTGTAAAAATCACACAAAAATTATAACTGTATACATACAGTACATGAGCAAAATGTGTACCGGGTAGAATACAATGTATATGATTTCCTAATGCAATGGTATTGCAATTTATGATGATGCATGATTTATGCTTTATATCCATGTACATACCCACACATTGTTGATTACTGTTGCATATTTATACAAATTATTCTCGCTGAATGATTTCAAGGATTCGAGTTTACACTTGAAGGAGAAAGCATTGTTGATTAATATTGTGGTTTTCGGGGGTGTTTGTATTCTCAAAATGTGTGTACATAGCGACAATGCATGTAGATGATTGATTGATTTCTTCCTTTTTGTGTAGGCCAAATACATATTTAGTAACTTAGATACTGTGTTGAGAATATCACTCATGTGTGTCATTAAATAATCATTGAGCATTTTATGAAACCATACAATTGTCTATTCCAACAATTTGGAGGTGTATAAAGTCACCTATATACTTCTGTAGCTGCTGAAGCCCAAACACTCGATATGAAATGCTCATCATGACATTCATGTATCACACCCCTGTTTCTATTTTTTTTAAAGGCATTTGTTTTAATATGCGATGATGTTCTGTAATCTGTACGCTACTTTCGCCAAGTAATGATTCTTATATGATAATTTGTATATACATGTAGACTTTGCATACATTTTCTGTAGTCTCAACCCGGGGGGGGGGGGGGGGGGGGGGGGATACTCAGATTTGGTTAAGACGAGGGGTATGCCGCTCAAGCCTCGAAACCCCTACCCATTATGAGGGGTCATTTGGGGTCATTTTTCTCCAAAAAAAAAATCCCATTTTTTACAAATTTCTGGTGTTTTGGGGTGTTCGCATGACAAGCACCCGAAAATTTTGCAAAATTTGAAAGAACGAACCCATTTTTAATGGTATTTGTGTTAAAAGTGGGACCCATGTTTAGGGATATTTTGTTAAAAAGTGACCCATTAGAGCGGCACGCCCCCAACATGTGAGTAACCCCCCCCCCCCTTGGGTCTCAACAGGCTATTAGCTGTGTGTGTGTGAATAAATCCTGTGTCTTTCATAGAAAGGTCTCCATGAATGTATTTTGGAAATCTCAATAAAACACCCTCTACATTTTTATATAATAAATGCTTTCAGTTCAATGGCCTTGCGAATTAAAGCTGCGAATTAGCCGATACTTTCATCAAATTAATGTCCATTTGTTTATTTGCACTTTTAATTAGATTACAGAAAATAAGCTATTTGATGACCTATGCACATTGTAATAGGAGAACAGTTGTTTTGACTTGTGTTACAGAATAGGACTCACAAATACAAGCTCAACTGTCAAGAACTTTGATTTAATCTAGCAGTTGCCAAAAATGTCATTCGATTCTCCCCAAACTTTGAAGCGCTGCCGGTATGAATTACAGCAGCATTACATATATCACTGCATCTCACTCCTGGAGTAATCTTACTTCATTCTTATTAATCACGGAAAAAGTCAGAAGCTAATTTATTAGAGCTCCTCGGCTGTTTACGCCATAAATAAACATCATGGACTTAACACTGATTATGCACTGTGGAAATAATGGTATGCTGTGGATATAAAGTGGATTATTAAGCCTTGTGAATTAATTTATTTGTGGAGCAATAATTTTTGAACAAGGATTTTTATCCAAGATTTATTCAAGATGATTTTCTTTTACAACATGTGGGATTGCTTATGCATTGAAGGTGAGATAATATGCCTATTTGGTTTGCATGAGCTTCATCAGACATAGCAGTATCTCAGAAAAGATTCTATGGGAAGATACGGTTACCAGCGATTCCTAGACTTTCTACAAACTAATTTACAAATCTCCCTATGATTTATAATTCACTTGAGTAAAAGTGTAGACTAAATGCATCTTGTGCTGAATAATTTTTTGGAGCACTGTGGACTAGAGGTGAAGACTGTCGACTCTCATACGAGAGGTCCTAGGTTCAAACCTTGCTCGATGCTAGCATCTTTGGACAAGGTGTTAATTTACCCACATTTGCCCCTCTTGACTCAGGTGTATGAAATAAGTACCTGGAAATGCTGGGGTAATATTAATTGCAGGGCCTACTGAAAGAGCGGTATTCAAATTATTCTGATGATTAATGATAAACCTAAATTCTGATTGAAATAATATATTTGTTTGCCTTTTTTTTCTTATTTCAGACTTTGACATGGACATGTCGGATGAGATCCTGATCACCGACATCATCGACCAGCTCAACCACCGGGTGGCATTCATCACAGGTTAGTGTGATTGTCAGTTTACTTATTTGATTTGTCTTTATTTCTTTTATTTCTTTTTGTGATCTTTTTCCAAAGTGACAAACCAATTACAACATAGTTGTGATAATAAACAAATTATATAATTAATACATCATCAATGTATATACTGACATTGTTGGACTATAATAATGAAGAAGTATTGCCACATAAAGCTAAGCTTGAAGGCGTGGTACCGTAATCCTTTATAAGACTGAATAATTCTGATATACAAAAATGATGTCGGTGATGTTTAAATAGTGAAAAAGATGTATGAGAAGATGACAGGAGGAGATGGTAAATAGATTAATAACGGTGATGGCTGTGCTGAAGAGATAAATAGAATTAGGAAAAAGGCAGAAGTGAGGTATGAATTAGAGGGAGGGTGGAGGGATAGAGAGGGAAAGAGAGACAGAGAGACTTTTGTTACTTATTTTAAAAATAGATTAGTGATACATCATCTGAGCAACAGAGTATTACTTTGATTAGCCTATTTTAGACTCTCCTTACATACAGGGACTGCTGGTGTGGCCAGCTGTCAACAATTATCTGTTGATACCTGAAATTGGTTTTGTTTGCAATTGTGCAATGTATACACCACAAAATGGCCATTCGTTTATCTTTATGACGATATATCATATAATCATAATGATAATCATTAGGGCTGTGCACAACAGTGTAATGAGGTAACCGAGTACACTCACAGGCGAATACTCGAATATTCGGACGCCATGTTTTTTTATAATTTTTTTGAATTTTTTTGAATTTTTTTGAATTTTTTTGATTTTTTTTTATTTTTTTAATTTTTTTTTAATTTTTGGATTTTTGGATTTTTGGATTTTTGGATTTTTTTTCTTTTTTTTCTTTTTTTGCCACTACCATACCACTCGGCAGTTGCTCAGGTCCCTTGCTGAAAACGCATGCAACTTTACTTTGAGTTGCAGTTGAAGGCGCCGATTTAATAAGAATAATAACAGTAAACAATGGCAGAATAATCCATTTTCCTCCAAGTTCAAACAGAAATCTGGACATTTGGTCCCAGTTTCTGAAAGGTGAGTTTGACAGTGCTTGGGTTGGGAAACATTTTTACCGACGGTACCATGCCAGCGGACGCTGCTCTGGTAAGCGTGGGCCTGGACCTTTTTTTTTTTTTTTTTTTTTTTTTTTTTTTTTTTTTTTTTTTGCGGCCGAATATTCGGGTACAAGAAATCGTACCCGAGTAGTTGTCAACCGTGCGGGTACTCGAGCATTCGACTACCCGTCGCAGCCTTAATAATCATCATGTGTTCCCAACACTTACAGGGACTAATCACCACAAAATACTTCTGAAACTCTCATGATAACCACGAACAGTAAATTTGTGCAGAAAATTAATTGTTTTGCAGTATATGCTTCACATATTGTCCAATAGTGTAACAACTAGGCCCAAATGCTCCCTAGGGAGCGGTGTGTGTGCACTATTTTGTGTGGATGAGCAACTAAATCCATTGGCTGGGGTAATAATTATTTTAAAGCACTTAGAAAAGTATTATGCTCTATTCAAATGTGACTGTTATTATTATTACTATTATAAATATAACTGATGCTATAACTTTTGCATATTATCAAATCCTGTTAACACAGCAATATTAAAGTGATCAGACACCTAAATGAATTTTGGAGTCTGGCAGTTGGACTCTGTGTTGTAAAGTATATAACAGATGATGAAAATGATTTGTAGGTAATGTTTACACTCTTCAAATCAAAGAGCAGATATGTTATGCTTCTCACTTTTATATTTGAATAATAAAAACTCCTTTTGCAGCCCCAAGGGCGTTCACTCTGTGTTAACTCTTTCAGGACAGGATTTATTTTGATGGCTAAATTAATCAACTTTTGTTCTTCAAATTGGCAGCAATAATATTTTCTTTCATTGCTACATTTTTAAAATAAAATGTAATGTCTCTGAACACAATAAAAATTGGCAAGAATCCTATCGAAAAGTTGAAAACTGGTAAAATCTGATAGAAAAACAAAGATTTTGAATCTCGCAACATGTTTCTAATTTAAGGATTTTAATGTGTATTTCCTTTCTTTTTTAAAATTTCCTGGCTTCAAACACAATATAGTTGTGAAACAAAAATTAAGGGCTCTGAAATACACTTGATTGAGCCAAACTACAAAATGTGGAATGATTGTCTCATCAAAGGGGTTCAATGTGTATGAATTAATGCCCTTCTGGCTCCAAACAAGGGAAATATGAAGTGCAAAGTTAATGACTTACGTACGTACCCAAGTATGATGGATGGGTGGATAAACATCTAGAGTGATGTGTGTCAGAACTTCAGGCAATCGAGCGGTTGTGTAAATTTTGTGGTATTTTTGATATTGTCTGACGTCACCAGTGATGTAGTCCTTTGACTGCTAGGTATGTTCACAGGTTATTGTAGGTTGGAAATTTTCACTTTATCAGATTTATTTTAAATGGGGTAATTAATTACAAATATGAGAGGGAAGAAATAGTTGAAGGTCAGGTTGCTTAGAAGTCAGAGGACTGTAGGTTAAAGGTAATACAAAGTTTTGGGAAATTTTGAAAATTGGGTGGATAATGAATCTTTACAATTTTGATATACATTTATTTGGATGCCCCTCTGCATCTGGATGTACAGTATTATAAGCACTAAAAAAATTAACCTCTAAAACACTTCTGTTTTCGAGAAAAATTGAATATAAAAATTTACCGGTGCTCCCGGTAAATTTTGATAAATTTCAAATAGCGCCTACGGACGTACAATGGTAGCTGCGACCATGAAAATCTCAGAATATGTAGTTGTGATATATAATTTCCAAACGGGAATAGCTAATCGGTCAATTTTAGTCAAGAAACATTGTTTCATAGCTAAATTGATATCTTGACCTTGAGAGGGAGCTATACAACATAAAGAGTTAATTATTTATAATTTCATAACTTTAGACTCGATTTCAACCAGGACGACGATCGATGAATATTGTAGGAATGCATACGCTTCCAATATGTTAATTTGAACCAAATTCATGACCCCATACCAAAACTTTGTAATACCTTTAATGAATATGATTTACAATACAATGCAGTTAACCAATTTTTATTTGCAAATTATTGAAATAATTGTGTTTTGCTGATTTAAACATCATTACAATTATGGAATTTTGATCATAAATCTTTTTATTTGTAAAAACCTTATTATCAATTTTTGATTAGCACTGTTATAAACAGCATTAAAACATTGTGATCATAATTTTTTTTTTTAATTAAAAAAATTAAGATTAATGAAAGCAACTGATAGTTTTTATTTTTTAAATTTAGTAGCTGCTAAACAAAAAAGACAGTCTTGAACAAATAAAATGCTTCTGTCCACACTTCTATAATGAAAATTTAAATTCCATGTTGTTGACTTTTCAGGTTCAGCTGTTTAAGCTGTAGACAATATTGATATTTCTCAGGAATCTACACATTTTACTAGATAACTTAGTTGAAGGTTAGTTTATAAAATGTTCTGTTCTGGCAAAATTGATGTAATCCTTAATCCTCCATATAGCCAGATAGGATTTACTTGATATTAAAACATGGGTATGAATATGACATCAGTCTTGCGATCAGCTGATTTTGTATCCTTGATCCAAACTAATAGGCCTAGGTCGTCTCTGTGCAGATTAAATTTTCTGGAGAGGAAAATCTTTCTAAACTCAAATTCTCTGTTGAGAGCCAGAAGGGTGTTTACTCTGTAATTAATGCCCTTCTGGGCAAGCGACTTGAAAACTACTTTTCAAATTATTAGCATTTAAAGATTTATTTTATATTTAAACTGCTTTCCGTCCCGAAAATCGGTTTAAAACTTAAAAGACTAATAGAAATGTTATAGCAGAACACGGCACAATTTTTTCTCAGAAAAAGGTCAGTTTTATAAAAGTTTGAGGCGATTTAGTGCTAACGCCCTTCTGCTTAACGCTTCATTTTTTACCTGAAATTCGAGCTAACGCCCCTCTGCCAGCCAGGCGACGAAATGTCAAAACTCTAAAAACATTCACTCCAACATAGAAGAAAGCAGAAAAATCATAATAAAAGCATAATGGTAAAGTTTGAATGAAATCAGACATCTCTGAAATCACCAGATGGAAATTATATTTCCATTAGCTTTTATTTCTGGATGGAAATTTTTAAAAAAATAATGCTATTAGCCTCAGGGCAAGACTAGAATCCATAAGCTGAAAAAATTGTTTGTTTTTAGTCCAAGCTGTACAATCTGGCGTCAGGTCCCTGGAAAAACAAATGAAATGTCTGCCTAATTAAACAAAAGGCCTACTGCTGTACATTTACATTGTTGTGAAAAGTCCCTATCAATTGCAAGTGAAAGTGATTGCTAAACGTCATATATTTTTTTTCTCTAGTAGAGTGGGAGTGCCTAAAAAAATATCTGCATTACCTAGACAAGTGTACATGGACAAAGTTGAAAAAAATGCAAAATGAATTCATTCATTTATTCATTTATTCATTTATTCATTCATTGATTTATTCATTAATTCATCTGTTTGGAGCCAGAAGGGCATTACTTCAAATATCTGAATACAGAGTTAATGCCTTCTTGCTCCAAAGAGTGATTTATTTTGGTTTTTCAGTTAGTGTATGATTAAGATTGCCAACTGTTTTCTGAAAGATCGAGAGAGCTCTTCTAAATATCATTTAATATTTATTTTAAGTATTGAAAAACGGGGTTAATTGGAACATTATTATTTATTATTATTATTTATTTGACCAATCGGAAAACATACAGTGAGTATAACAATCAGATAATACATGTAAGAAATATCATAATACATACAAACAGCTTTAGGGAAGTGGAGAGGAGAGAGAGAAAAGGATACAATCTGCTGGTCAGGGGTGACAAAAGCAATTGAAATTGCTATTTAATACTCAAAAGCATGTCACCCCCCACAAAAAAAAGTTTTTTAGGGATATTATTTCTATGAGGAATGATTTTATCTAACATTTATTATCCCATTGAGCTGAATTCAAGAAGGTATCACTAATAAGCTTCACATTTCTTGGCTCCTGTCAATGCTTTAAGCATGGTGTGTTTTTTATATTGTTTTGATGATTAACAAATTATCAAATGACTCAGCTCTCAGCGAATTATATCCTTCCTTACATCCTGAAATACGAGTTTCTACAAACACCGTTGAGAATGCCAGCAAGATTCATTTTCCAAAAAGGAAGTAGACAAAGATGGGTAATATTTACATACCAGTATATGATAAACAACTCTTGAATAGTTGAATTACTAAGGATTAATTAAATCCATGCAAACACATTGTACAGAACACTTGCTTCAAGAACAGTCTGTCACAGTAGGCACTTGACAAGTTTCAAATCGAAATATCATTCCTGTTTTCTTTGATTCGGATTTCGGATTCAATATGCTTGCAATTCAAATATATATTTCAGTGTAGTTATATATTGAGAATGTGTTTGAATATGTGTGTGAATATATTTAAACTTATGTGTTTGATTATTTGTTAGAAATTCAGAATCAGATGCACTATCTTTTGAATTTAGTTACAGAATTAAAATATAATACAAATTAAACTACAATTCAGTGAAAAAATACACGGGGGCTCCCGAAATGCCCAAAAGAGCCCCCGAAAATCAAAAAAGAGCCCCAGTGAATTTGCATAGAGTTCAATGCAAAACAAATTTTAGAGTTATTTTTATGCAGGCAAGCTTGAAAAGTAGCCCCCGAAAAATAAATATTAATTTTTTCCCTGCTACAATTGATCAACATTTGTCTATGAAGGTGAATTTATTTGGCAGATTTGATTTTCAAACTATAATTCCTGTTTTCTTTGATGCTTGAAATTCAAATATGTATTTCAGTATAGTTATATATTGAGAAATGTATTTGAATATGTGTGTGAATATATTTAAACTTATGTGTTTGATTATTTGTTTGAAATTCAGAATCAGATGAATTTAGTTACAGCATTAAAATATAATTCTAATGAAACTTCAATTAATCAGCCTTTATCTATGAAGATGGATTTATTTAGCAGATTTCAATTTAGCTATTACCATCTGAAATTGCTGTGAGCCAGACGAAAATTAATTAAGTGCAAATTGATTATTATGTAATACCGGTACCCATTTTGTTCTCTGATTTTGTAGTACCTTTTAATTACAGTAGGTCCAAACACAAAAAGCATCTCTAAAATGCTTTCAAAATGAAGATTGCTTGATCTTATAGGGTGCATTTAATACTTGTTCAAAATGATTTTGTCTCGCCGTCTGTCTATGGGGTATGCATTTATGTACAGTGTATTTCTCGAGGGCAGATGTCGCCGTTGAAAAAAATCTCATTATTGCACAGAACACATGCAGTGTGGAGTTTAGTCCCATAATTGGATCAGGGGGAAGAGAGGGAGAGATAGAGAGGGAGAGGGGGGAATAAGGGATGAATAGGGGGAAGGGATGGAGAGAGGCAAGGTGAGCCAAGGAGAGAGGCAAGGTGAGACAGGGAGAGAGAAAGAGAGAAAGAAAGAAAGAAAGAAAGAAAGAAAGAAAGAAAGAAAGAAAGAAAAAGAGAAAGAAAGAGCGAGAAGGATGGAGGAAGGACTTGAGGGGGTTTTGGGTGGGGGATATGGGGGAGGGGGGGAGAAAGAGATAAAGATGGAAATTATAGGTTGGGGTACAAGGAGGTGAGGTTGAAAAACACGAACGGAGAGGAGAGAGAGAGAGAAAGAAAGAAAGCGCGAGAAGGATGGAGGAAGGGACTCGAGGGGGGTATGGGGTGGGGGATAAGGGGGAGGGGGGAAAAAGAGATAAAGATGGAAATTAGAGGTTAGGAACAAAGAGGTAAGGGTGAAAGACAGGAACAGAGGAGAGAAAGAGAGAGAGGACAGGCCTGTCCACCTGTATTTATGTATATCTATACACTCTTTCATTTCTAGATTGTTTAACAAATAAATAATTATCACATTCCATCGTTTTCTTTCTCTTTGATTTCTAGGTGGTAAGACTCAGGAGGGGTATCCCATCATCAACATGCCGGAGTGTCCAAAGTTCAACCTGGTCCGAGATGAAGACTTTGTCAGACTCATGACCTACCTCGTCAGAATACCAAGGTAAATATTTTTGGTATTAATTCTATTTATACATTTTACGTAGTTATATATTTGTGTATAATTATGTATTATACCATCAACTAATGAGGAGAGCCTCCTACAGAAATGTAGTAAATGTTTCGGTAGTCCCCAGGCATTAGTTAAAGGATTTTTTTTCTGTTATTGTATTTATTGTTGTAATTCATTTTCTTGTATTCTTTGTTATGGTTATACTCCTTTATGTTCCTGGAAATGAAATAAAATACATACCGGTAGATAAAATAGTTTTCAAATGGTGAATTGCCATTTGGTCCACAACCAGTTTGTCTACTTTCCAATTGGTCTATTCCCATATGGTCAATACCCAGCCTGCGTCTACTATCCAATATGATAATAATAAGTCTAATAATCATTTGTCTGCTTATCATTTGGTATAATCATGAACCTAATACAATATAATGACCATTTTACATTGTATCACTATCCTATGGAAGTTTCACCACTCTGCGGCGGGGCTTATTGTGAGCACGCACTGGTGATCGGCCAGCTGCCATGCCAATCGACCTCTTCAAAATAGTTTCTTGAAACTATATTTCATTTTACAATTTTTTTTCTTCCAGTTTGTATGCCCCTTATGCTATATGATGTTTCTTTAAATGTTTATTTATATGAATTTTGGAGTTATATATAGGTCAGGGGTATTTTGTTATCTTTCGGTAGTCCCAAATAATATTGCAATAATGATGAAAAATTAAAATTAAAATGCACCCAAATGCAGCCTGCAGATAGCATTAACAATAGTGTGCAAAATTGGGCATCACAATGAAAGGTCAAATGTTACATTGCGGTTTCAACGGTCAGTCAAGACTCTAACAAGGAGGGGGATTTTCGGTGGTATCCTGCCACCCTGCTCCTCTAATTGCAATTATCCTCGCTTGTACCTGATCTGTGGGCCTGTCCTCATCAGCTCGAGTTTGCCAAATAAGCCGCTATTTTGACTATCCTGATTGCAATTAACCAGTTAATGTGCCTCATCATCAGCCTGCAGTTGCAATTAGCGTGATGTTTGATCGAGAAAATATCCTGAGAAATCTTGGTCTTGTTTCCAAAATATCCCGCTATTTGGGAAATAGCGGGCTAATTTTCGCCCGTCCGAGCTAGTTTGTGATGAGCGTACAGTCCTGTGAAGACGCAATTTTCGGCATCAGGATAATATCAAGAGTCTGAAAATAACGGGTCATTTGGCAAACTCGAGCTGATGAGGACAGGCCTTGTGAGAGTGTTGCCCCCATGGCCGTTCACTCCTTCGATCGTAACGACTCGGAGGGGGGGGGGAACAGGATGTGTTTCTGTGCGCTACATGGAGCTCAAGCGTGAAGTCAAATTTCCTCAGTTAAGGGCCCTTTCAGACATGAGGTGGTATACGAATATCCTGTTCACACTACAAAAAAGTTAAACAAAAGTCATGAAACAAAAATGGCATTGTAAGAATCAGCATATACCAAAACGCACAGACACTTGTGGAAAAAGTATGGTATAAAGAAACATTTAAAAAAATAGTGTATCAGAGGTCTGTTGACATATGTTTTGTGTCAGCCTGGGTGACAGCTGGCCAGTCATCAGTGCAAAATCATTAAGCCCCGCCCAGTTGTACATGCAGTTTTTGTACGATACAACAGACACTTTAGTAATAAACTGTAATTCATTATCAACTTTTTATTTGAAGCGACGCTCAGACAACCATCTTGCTTAATATACATATTTTATGTGACATCAAACGAGAAAAAGTACTTGTGGTACTTATTGTCTAGCTGTACAAAAGCTCAAAGCTGTATAAATTTTGCTAGTCTATACAAGGATTAAAAAAGAACCCCATTTTTCTGCACCCTGTCTGAATGGGGCTTTATGTTTTAAAGGCCCCCTGCTGTAGACTTTATGAAGATGCAGCTAGGGGGTTGTTATTTTCATTATTAGGTGAGCTGACAGCATCTAATGACATTTGGTGTATTGTCTGTTAGAAGCCAGTAGGGTGTCAACTCCATTAACACATAGCAGGGGAAAAAATACCGTACTTTAAAAATGTTGGAGGCTACTTTTCAAGCTTGCTTGCATGAAAAAAGCACTCTTTAATTTGTTTTGCATTGAACCCTATGCAATTTGGGGGGGGGGGGCTCTTTTATGACTTTCGGGGGCTCTTTGGGGCATTTCGGGGCTATTTCGCCCCGAGCCCCCGTGTAATTTTTTCACCGACACATCGTTAACGCCCTTTTGGCTCTAAAAAGGCAATGAATCTGTGAATGCTTACATGTACATATAGATACAAAAAGCTCTAGGGGGATATTATTTTCATGTCATACCATCAATGCTGATTTTTAGCACAAGACAAGAAAAATCACCAGTCTTCTCAAATTTTAAATAATGTGTAACAGTCAGTATTGTCTGTTTGGGGTCAGAAGCGCAATAACTCTGTGTAAAAGGTTTCTCAGCACACAATGTCTTGTTTCATGCCATTTTTTTTACTTTATCACTTTATTCATACTTTTCCTTGTATTTTATGGCACAATTTTGGTATGATACCAGGGAATAATGTCAATATGTAGGTTATCATTCCCATTCAGATTCTCTTTCTGTTGGTTGTTTACAACCTGCAGTTATGGTTAATATTAACACAATGTTTTGTACTCTTTGATATCTTTTCACTTTGAATATTCACAACATTGTTTCTATTTTGATGTTGAATTATATCTGTGAATTACACGTACATGTAAATCACTGTATTTCTGTGACAAATCATCATGATTCAATGTTCTTATAATGATTGTTTCTTCCATGATTTCTATCTCTTAATGACGTTCAGGTTTTTGTTTTCTTTATTCTAACCACAATTGCAAAGACTTTTCAAAAACAACCTCAGGCACTATCAGTAGTGCCTCACCCTCTGAAATGTGTGCACATGACAATAGGATATTATACTATTTATATTATTCATATTACGTATCATGTTATGTACGTCATCAGGACATGAGTTTGTATTGGAAATGCAAAAGGTATTGAAAATGCTCTTAAGTTGTCTTTTTGAAAGTCTTTGCAAATGTGTTTCTTATTCCTATGCACAAATAAGCTACCTGGTAGTTTTCTTCTTCGTTGACGTACAGTCATTCTTTGTCATTTTTATATTCTTAAAGATAAAGTTGAGTTCTGGTCATGTGATTGAATTGTGAAAGAAACATTGTGGAATCCATCAGAATCCATCAGTTTGATCATCTAGCAAGGTACTAAAATCATCAAAATGATAAGAAATTCGACCCAGTCTTGGTAAAGTTACAAGCACTGTAGTGACTGTACACAAAAAGATGTACATGTATATGGGACTACACAAACATGATGCATACAAGTCTGTCCCAATTTTTATTATGTTACATGCCATATTTAAAATATTAAGGTATTTGAAAAGCCAAGCTTTTCAGGGAACGTTATCAGATGTTCTTCCACACTTCATAATACAATGATAATGCTCACAAATTATTTTTAACCCCTTCCCAAAACTCGACCTTCTCTTTCATCACTGTTCATAGAAATAAAATATAACATGGGAACATTTTCCATTTCCATTTTCATTTTCATCATGTCATGTTACTCATCTTTCCACCCTTTTCATCCCTCTCTTTTCTCTCATTCGTCATCATGCTTTCCTCATCACATAGTTATTTCCAAGGCCTACGATGTGAAAGGTACCCACCTAATGAGTGTTTAATCGCAGGGTACATTCCCATATGGCAGAGTTTACTGCACTTTATCACAGGCCTTATTATTTGAATTAAGGCATGCAGTAATTGTGCATAAATTTTAAAAAATGGGAATGTACCTCAATCATCTTCTGATTGTGCTTAATGTTTGAATAGTTTATTTTGTGTTGTTTGTTTGTTTGTTTATTTAATTGTCTGTTTGTTTGTAATGTCCGTTTATTTGTGCTGTCCGTTTATTTGTGCTGTGTGTTTATTTGTGTTGTTCATTCATTTGTATTGTTTGTTTATTTGTGTTGTTTGCTTGTTTATTCATTTGTTTATTCAATTTATTTATTCTATTTATTTATTGAATTGATGAATTTCTTTATCTATTTGTTTATTCATTAATTTACTTTTTTATTAATTTTTTATTTATGATGTGTGTGTGTTTGATTGTGCAAAATTGTCTGTTTATTTGTAGAATTCACACATGTACTTTTTGTTGTTAAGTTTACAATAGCATGTTTATTGCATGTTTTCTTACAACAAGCCTATAGGTCTAAGTATTACAAAACAAAAACACTATAGTTGTTTAAGGTAGAGAGCAATACATCATACATGCACGTGTACTTGTGGGTATACACTTCCCCAAAGTAATTCCGCGCTTATAAAATCTAAAGTGCAAGAGATACGCAATGGAATGCCTGTGTATGCCATCCCCTCAATGAATTCGATTTAATCTCAAGGACATATGTAATAGCATGACCATCTTTAAATGGGTTAAAGAGATTCTTGGTGAGGGGCAGATACATATTTTCTGTTTTGAGCCAGAAGGTCGTTAGGTGTTAATGGGATGAGTTCACACCCTTCTAGCCTATAATAAAGGCTTGTTCAGATGTGACCTGGCAAAACAGTGGCGTTTTTGTTTTACAATGACATAAAGTGTAAACCGCATCACATTTCTATCTTATTTATAACACCGAGCTCAGTGAAGAAGCTCAAGTTGCCATTCATTCACACAATTAAAGAAACGTGGCAGCTTTTTTGTGACGCATTACCATCTCATATCTGAATAGGCCTTTATTAGATGTTATCAAAGTAGTGACTGCCCCAACTAGATGCATTTTTTTTTTTTTTTTAAGCCACAAATATGTTTAAATAATTCAAATAGATGCATTGTATTTGTAAGTTTTCTATTGAGAATCAAAAGGGCTTAATCACTTAATATTGAGTTTTCCTGTAATATCCTTTGGCTCTTTCTTGCACCATGTACATCTACCGGTATGTGTATTAGAATAAAATGTCTTTATTATACAACCATTCGCTAGTAAACTCCCCAAACATAACAATTTTATTTAATTTAATGAACATGTACATGTACATGTTAATGTATACATGTATGTGGAAGTTTTAGTTAGTTCTAAAGACTGCTCCAGATTTATTTTTTTTGAAAAGATACATCATGCTAAATCAAACTCCTCAACTTTGATGCCCTTTCAGTAAAACAATAATTTCATGCAAGTTTTATTATTTATTTCCGTAAAGCCTTGTTGTACGTGTTCTTGTGGTATGCAGTGCGTTTTTTTATTTAGTATGCTGTATTCTTTATTCTCCATACAGGGTTATATTGAGTGCTGCTTGCACGTCTTTTTCATTTGAACTTTCCCCTAACCTCTCCCTTTTTTCACCTTGTTTGTTTGTAGTGGTGTGCATTTGTTTAATGATAATCAATCAAGTCTCTGACACTTGTTATTTTTCATTCGATCTCATGCAAGGAGATATTTTCTCGTCAGCAGACGGTGACGTTTAGTGCACTCGAGCTTGACCCTCCCCCTCTCTTTTTCTTTCTTTCTCTCTCTCTCTCTCTCTCTCTCTCTCTCTCTCTCTCTCTCTCTATCTCTCTCTTTCTTACTCTTTCTTTCTCCTCTCCCCCTCTATTTCTCCTCTCCCCCTCTATTTCTCTCTCCCTCTATTTCTCTCTCCCTCTCTTTCTGTGTATCTGTGTCTCTATTTCTCCCTCCCTCCACCCCACTCTCTCTCTCTCTCTCTCTCCTTGTTTCTTTTTCTCTCTCTCTCTTTCCTTGTTTCTTTTTCTCTCTCTCTCTCTCTCTCTCTCTCTCCCTCCCTCCCTCTCTCTCTCTACCTCTCTTGTTTATTCACCCTTCAGTCTTGGCAAGAAGTATTTGTGAAATTATTTTGCAATGTACTTGAGTACCCATTCAGGAAACATTATAAGTGCAATGAAAGGAAATGGGTTTTCTTTAAGCGACTCGGTAACATTGCCTCATATTCTGAAACTAAATCCTGGATGTATAGCTCATGCTGCTTTTACAAGCCGATCATCTGTCTTATTATCAAGATATTTATGATTGGCAATCAAAAAAATTTAATTTGTTTTCCTAACGGTTTTTATAACACTACAGTCTATTGGGGAAAATGAGTATGGTAAAACCAGTCACTCGAAGATTTTTACTTTTTTGAGGCATTTTATGATCATTTTAAGCGCAATTTTGTTAAGGGCTTCATTATTACACCATATCACAGACACTGATAACATGTAGGGCCATGCATCTCAGATTTAACATTGTTAAACGATCGATGCCTTTAAAGATAGAATTGGGTTCTGGTCATGAGGTTGCAGCGTAAGAGAACCTATTTCAAAGTATCTTGAAAAGGTTGAATATAAATGGATCACATATGAATTGGTGTATACATGTACGTTGAGGTTTTAGATGCATCAAAATGTAAAGAAATAGACGCAATCTGGCTGAAGTTTGATGTACTGTACACGGAAATGTGTATGCGGGACTACACAAACTTGTGGCATGAAAGTTTGGTCCAAATATTTTAAGTATTTCCCATCATATTTGGAACATGACGGCATTTGAAGAGCAGGACTTTTTCAGGGGCTGACTTAAAATAATTATGGAGAGCCATTTTCAGCCTTAAAATAAAATATATACAGTGAATATTCAAAAGCAAAAATTCAAGTATTTTAGACTTTACATAAATGCCACATCAAGAATATGAAATCTCCTTGATAATAGAAAATATGAATGATTTGAATCAACATTTTATGCCTTTTAAAATAACTTTTACAAATTATTTTCAAAGATGCAATGGCTTTCCATAATTGTTAAGTCCAACTTAAAGATAAGTTCAACTTTTGTGATCTTTGCGAAACACCTGGGATATTATCCAAGGCATTATGTATTTTGGAAGCTTCCTGCAAGAAGGTTGGGGCCATTGATAACACATAGCCCTTGTGGCTTTCTTGTAGGCAGCGAATGATTTATATTGTGGGCTACTTCAGTGATGAATGTATGCTTGGTATACATACTTAAGAATTCATTGCATTTTGCATAGCAGTGGTGCTGTGGGATGTTGTGTGATATTAATGTGTGTATCATTATTCATGGGATACATTGCTTGAGGGAATTACCAGGGTGTAATGGATTGGAAGTCTTCTTATCCCAAAGGGTCGTGGTAATGATATATTAATCCAATGATCTAGGCCCCCTCATCTCTCTCTGTCTCTCTCTCTCTGTCTCCCTGTCTCTCTGTCCCTCTCCCCCTCCCCCCCCCCCCCCCCCTCTCTCTCTCTCTCTCTCTCTCTCTCGCTTTCTCTCTCTCTCTGTCTACCCTCTTTCTCTCTCTCTCTCTCTCTCTCTCTCTCTCTCTCTCTCTCTCTCTCTCTATCCTGCTTTCCCTCCTTCCTCTTTCTTCTTCCCTCTTCTTCCCTCCTTCCTCTTCTCTCTATCGTCAATTCTAATTCATATCACTACTTCTCCCATTACCAAAAAAAACTGCTGATGCCATTATCCTTGCTACTTCGACTTCCAGTACCACTACCACTACCAAACTGAAACAACTACCTTTACCACTACCACTACCCCTACCCCTACCGCTACAAATAAAACTACCACTGCCGCTATAGCTACTACTACTACTACTACCACTACCAAACTATTTTTAAAAAACACTACCACTACCTCTACCACTTTCACTATGTTCACTACTGCCACTACCTCTACCACTTTCACTATACTCACTACTACCACTTTCACTACCCCTACCAAACTGAAACAACCACCACTAGCACTACTGCTACCACTACCACTACCACTTTCACTATAGTCACTATTACCACTTCCACTACCAAACTGAAACAAATACCACCCCACTATAAAAACAACTACCACTACCCTATTACCTCTACCCCTACTACCACCCACCACTACCACTACTAGTAGTACTACTACTACCACTCCCAAATTACTACCACTCCCTCTACTAATACCACTCCCTCTACTAATACCACTCCCACTACTAATACCACTCCCTCTACTAATACCACTCCCACTACTACTATACTACCACTCCCACAACTACTACTACTACAACTACCACTCCCACTACTACTGCTACAGTGTTCCACTACCACCACTAATACTACCACCACTACAACCACTGCTAATACTATTTACTACAGTGATAATGGTAATGGGTTACTTCTTGTACATGACACATTCTTTACACTTTCACATCTACTTCAGATAGCAGCTAAAGCCCATCCCACATTACATGATCTGACTGCGATATGGGCCCTGTTTCATGAAACTTGTCATCAATAACAAGTTACCACAACTGTTATAAGCTACTGAAATTGTGGCATTTAATTGGCTGAGAGCAAATTTGCTATAGAAATTAAGCATTTGTTATAGATAAGAAGTTTTATGAAACAGGCCCCTGGGCTCTGTTTAAAAAAACTTGTTATCAATAACAAGTTACAATAACTGTTATAAGCTACTGAAATCGGGGCATTTGATTGGCTGAGAGCAAATTTGCTATAGAAATTAAGAATGTGTTATTGATAACAAGTTTTATGAAACTGTGCCCTGATATTATATTAATATTTTGAGATCCATGGCATGCAGCATTTTAATAATATTCTGCATCTTGCTATGTGATATTTCAGGTATCTCATGGGGGAGGGCAATATAACATGTGAATAGCCCTATCTATTAATATATATCCCAATCAATAAGAAATATATAAATAGTAATTACTTTATAATTTCGCACTACATTGGAGTATGATAACACCAGAGTCAATTATATGAGGTCAAATATGCGTGAAGATTGTTCTAGCATGGATTATACATATGCCATTCATTTGTTTACATTTGCCGTACAAGGGATACATCTTCATATTTGGAACCTTTGTAAGTGCTGACCTAGAGGGAGCTATTTCACTGGATACCTCCAATAATTATTTTGCTGCTGAAGTTAAAGTACTGGTGTGTGTTAGTGATTTGTGTTTTAACAGTTATTTCCATAGAGCACATTGTACACTTTATGTTAATATCATGTGCTTAGAGCCAGATTGGCATTTAGTCATAACAGTTTTACACAAAAATGAATTCCTTGAATGAATTTTATCTCTGAGTATTTCTTGGTTTTGTTATGCTGCTTTATGATTAAGGTTTGCAGTGTACTTTTTTTTTTTTACTGCTTTTTGTTTATTCCCTACTCAGTATTGATAAGCACATTTATTGTTTTAAGTCTTGGTTATAGGTCATTTTCATTAATTGTCTTATTTACATCATTTGTTATCTTTGTTATTGAATGCACACTTTTCTGTCATCTATGTAGACGTATATGTACATTAGTTTGTAATTTGACGTGCCTTTTGATATCGTACAGAGTATTTACATTTGTTCTACCCTATATATTTTTTTGTGGATTCTTGACATTTTGTAATTGAATATGTCTTTTTCTTTTTATTTACATACCGGTAGTTTTCTGTTGTCTGTTTGTACATTTTTATATTGTATATATTTGTAATCTCTTATGTACTTGCATGTGGATTTTGGTGACAATACTTTGGCTTTGAAAACATCCTTCCTCTAATTTTTTTTTATGATTCATTCTTCAGATTATGAATAAATTAATCAATACATTGTATTCTCTTGTATCTTGTCTCCCCTAGTCGTCTGGAATTTGACAGGGGGTTCGTCATAATCATCGATCGATCTACAAACTCATGGGGAGACGTCAAAACGACCTTGATTAGAATAGCGGTACGTATGAAGCAAAAAAAGAATTTCCACTCAATTTAATCTTGTCAGAATTGGTTTTGTGTATATATTGTATAGTCTATATGCATAATATCAAAGTATATCAAAGTGATTGTTGTTCTTACCGATGATGAACTTGATAATGATTGTAAAAACAATAATAATGTTAATGATGAAAAAAAAATTATAATGGTAATACTACTAATACTACTACTACTACTACTAATAATAATAATAATAATAATAATAATAATAGTAATAATAATTTTATGATATTAATAATAACGTAAATGATGATAAAATTAATTACAATATGAACAATATTTATGATATTGATAATGATATTTATAATAATGGAGTGAAATAATTGTAAATGAGTTATGAATGAATAAATAGATTTCAAAAAATGATAAATACACTGTAAATAAGTGAATAACATATATAGATAAATAAAAGAATAAATTGATAGATAGAACAAATAATTAGACAAACACACATACAACCAAATAAGTTATCCACAAGGGGTTTAAAACTATGCAAAGTGTGATATGTTTATTATTATCGAGCAGAAAATAAAATATGCTTTATTTCTTCAAGAATTTTTTCTTAAGTATTTATTTTTTTAGAATATGATTGTTTCATCATGCTGTGTACCCCCCCCCCCCCCCCCCCCCCTGCATGCATCACCTATGATACAACTGTAAAACACTATTTTCATTGTTTTTTGTTTTGTTTTTGTTTTAATATTTCATGAAGGATTATTATGTAAGAATCTAATTTTGCCTTTTATTTTTGCATGCACTTAGGATAGGCTTCATGTCATTAGCAAGCTGTTGTCTTATAGTGCACCATTTTATTTGAAATTACCATGATAACTCCAAATGCTCATAGCAAAGTGTTTATGTACCTGTAATTCTAGATCAGTTGATGTCTTAGAACTAGTATATCATTATTTAGAGCGAGAAGGGAATTAACTCATAATGTAATAAGTCTAACAAGGAGTTTTCCTTTCTGGATGTACATATCATCTTTGTGATATGGAGTCGTATGGTATTTTGTGGGCCGTGCAGGCGCCATCAAATAGCTGTTTTGTGTTTGTTGTGCTTTTTTAAGTATGCATTAGTCCTGATTCATTGAAATCTTTCATTAACATTCTTATACTAATCTTCTTCTTTTTTAATTAGATGAAAAAAACTCTCTGTTCTCTGTTTCAAATATTCTCTTTAGATTTCATTTCAAGTTTTCATCTAAGCTCAATTTTGTCCAAAAGTGTTAAATGTGTAGTTTAAATTCTAGTCTCTCAAATTTAGAAGCCATGATGATGTTTATCAATTAAAAATTGTAACAACAACAACAACAACAAAATTAATTCCTACTTTCTATTAAATTATTATAATCAGGATCAGAAAAATTATAATAGCATTATTGAAGTACATGTATTTTTAGTCTGCCTGTCGATGTACATTATATGATCCTGATAATTTGTGGGATGTGAGCCTGTTTGCTTCAATGTTGGCTTCTCTTCGGTCTAATGTACTGCCCTCTATTGGCAGACCAACACAGACGCTATCAGAAAGGGTTCTTCATAGTTTACTTACATTGCATGCAAGATCTGTATGTGCTTTTAAAAGGGTTATAGGCATTACCCTTAGAAGTACAATGGCTCAGTGGTAGAAGAATAGTGGTCCTGCCACTGAAAAGTCCGGGGTTCAAAACCTAGAAGATGTTCCAGTGCCCGTTGGTATTGCATTAGAGACACATAATCATGGGTTATCATGGGTTCTCATGGGGATTTTGACCCCATTGCACTGCTTATGCTCAATAATGGGAGAGTGGACTGCACTTTAATCGAGCGACAGGTTTCACATGCACATAATGCACATACTTACTAGCGGATCTAGAGTAAGGCTTGGGAGTCTCAAACCCTCTCCCCCTCACCAAATTTATTCAAGCCCCACCACCCCCTTAAAAAAAAAACCTACAACAAACCCAACTTTCTCTTTTGTTTGCCAACTCCCTCAGATACAGGAAGCTCGGAAGTTTCACCTCATTGCTTATCCAGAATTGTACACAGTACATGTTTTGTTTAATATAAATCACACAAAAATAGAGACATCATCAAAAAGCAAGGTGCATCGATCATAGCTAGCTGAGAGAGGCAGTTGTAACACTGGAAGTTATTCCTGATTGGTCAGTTAAATTCATGCAGCTCCAAATAGTTCCTCCCTTAGAAATATCATGTGTAAGAGAACGATTCATGATTTGAACATATGTGACCACACTGGCATAATATGTGTGTCACAGCCATCTCTCTCGATAAGCTGTGATGTTACTTGTTTGGCGCCCTCTATGGTGGGAGTCACCTTCATCTTAAATGAAACCACAAGTGTACCTAATAATAAACCGTATGCCTGGCTGACTCACCGGGTCTCATGACGACATAGGGACACATCCTCTGCCTCTACTAGCTCTTGGAGGGGTGCAAGCGGGTCCCCATCAGATCACAGTTAAGGAGCGGATATTGAGAGTTAGCAAGGCAAACAAGGCAATATGTCCAGCCCTATATTTCTGTTGAATTATTGAAAGCCCAAGTATAGTTTTGGTATTTCACCCCCCCCCCTTCTCAATTAGCCCCCAAGATGCCAAAAAGAGTCCCCGAAAGTCATAAAAGAGCCCCCAAAATAAGCATAGAGTTCAATGCAAAACAAATTCAAAGAGTGTTATTTTCATGCAAGCAAGCTTAAAAAGTAGCCCCCCAAATTGTTTTAATTTTTTTTCCCTGCCCCCTCCTGAAAAAAATGAAATATTAAGACACATTTGCCAGGTCATATTAGGATAAGACCTGTCTAGTGGAGTAGTTTTCAATGTTTTCAAGGACAATGACCCCAATTCATTATAAAGTTTTCATTTGAAACAATGCTGAAATATCCTTTCCACCGTTTCGCACATCATTATGTAAACTGTGGATGACAAGTACTTAAAAACTTGATGTACAGGTAAATACTACGGTATTCATGTAAAGAAGTATAGCTTGGCGTAATGGGGGGGGGGGTTAGATGCTGTAATAGTTACTTTTAAAGCAATGGCAAATTTATGGAGGGACAACTGGCACCCCCCCCCCCCCCCCTTTGAGACCTATGAAGTGACTTTACCTTTTGCTTTAGTACACAGGTCTAAAATTGTGGCTTCGACCCATTTGAGATGATGAGCTATTTTTTTTTCTTTGCTTGTCATTGATTTTTCTATTAAAAATCCCCTGAAAAATGCTAATGAAGATTTTTAGAATTCTTAGTTTTTATATTTGTTTTCCATATCAGCAAATTCTTTTACACCCTCTATTTTACAAATACTGGAGCTGCCCCTTATTAGAGCTTCTGAAATAGTGACCACATCATGACAAAGCCAGGCCAAAGTCAGACCAAACAGGTGTATGGATTGGCGACATAAATATATTCACATGGTACGTTGTTGTTTCAACTATCAAGTTTGGGAAGCTTCAAAGTTATAAACATTATCATCCACTATTAACAACGACAAGTATTCACACAAAACGGAAACGATGAGTATTCAAAGATTTAAACTACAAACCAGGAAAACATTCATTTTAACTACAAACTGGTGTCACCATGAAATCAAGCTCACCAGCCTGCCGTTGAAGTTCGAGTGAGTAACAGCTCGGCCTTACCCCATACCCCCCCCCCCCCCTGTGCTGCTTGTAGTTATCACGCTAACCTTCAGCTTGTTTGTGGTTTTTTAACATTGAGTTACCTAATTAAAAGTTTTGTACCACAAGTGGGTCCGCACGGTCCCCAACTACTAAATAACTTTGAAGTTTAAAACCATGACCTAAACTTTAAGTTAGTGGAGTGTCGTATGAACCTAACTTTTATCCACATCATTTGTAACTCTCGAGTCACAGTCACTGACGGATCCAGAATTATGTGGCTCAATTAACAGAAGGGGAGAGGGCATGTGTTTCAAGAAGTGCCACCAAGCACACACACCAAATTTACCTTATTTCAAGGGGGACAATTCATATAACGCTTTGAAAAGCGAAAGTACAACAAACAAAACCATGCAACCAACAGAGAAACATACAGACACAAATACATATATAAAAACAGGTGTATGGATTAACTCTGTGATACAAATATTACTTAGCACATAAAATTAGTCATTGTTGGATCAGTGTTAATTGCCTGTGTGCTGAAATTAATGGCCCAGTGAGGGGGATCATGGGAAAATCAATCCGCAAATTACAATAAATGAACTGGAAATACATGTAATATTATTTTTTAAAAACCTTGTTAAAGGTATACTTGGGGTGGATGAAGGGCTTGTAAAAGAGGGGGTTCAATATTCATGAAAATTCTATGGCATGCGAAAACCCAAAAGGAAGAACCAAATCATGATTCTGTGATGCCTTTGTATTTGAAAATTCTCTGACAAGCAAAACACAAAGGGACAAAAATAGTATCATTTAAAGAGGAGGGGAGTGGGGGGGGGGGCACATCTTGGATATGTGTTCTCAGGGATGATGTCTCTGCTATACTTGAGATATGGTTTAAAAGGGGGCATAGACCAGAATCCCCCCTCCCCCTCCTCATGAATTTGATATCTAACAGGAAGAAAAAAAAATACAAAAACTTTAACCACCTTTCTATGGTATGGAAATATCGATTTAAGGGAGAACATTTTCCTTTCAAAAAGTCTTCAAAATAAAGTCACTCTTGATCGTAAATCACCCTTAGAATATTGGTAGTCCTGATATGATGACAAGATATTGTGCTTCACTGTCTTCATATAATTACAGAAAATACTGCAACTTATGCCAACAAAATATTTGTAAAACCAGAGAACAATGGCCATTTTCATGGCTAGCAACTTTCACAATTCATATGCTACATTTTCATCGTCATACCGGGTAATTCAATCGTTTTGCAGCATGAACCTTTCACCAACCTGCACCACACACACAGAGTTTGTGAAGTTTCATGCATCCTTAAATTTGCGGTTGTAAAATAGCTCCCATTGGCAATGATTTTCTCTCCTTGATTAATTGAAGGTGAAACCTATGACGTTACACGTTTATGTTGTTCCCATTGTATGTAAAGGTCATATTACAGAATGCGAAGGGCCTGCTTTAGGGAATTGCTTTAAATGTTTGGCTTTCGTCCATAACCTTAAAATAAATCTCTTTCCTATTGTTAAAGCACATAAAGATTGGGTTTATTTGTTCTTCGCTCCTGCATGGTAAAACTATATCATCATCTATGATATATCTGCAAAGCATGTAGAGACATCGTCCATGTATTAAGTGCTATGCAAATGCAGAATATTATTATTATCAACAAATGATGATAACAATTGGGGCTTAATTATTTACAAATGGTAGCCACATCATGATTAATACTGCTCTCCCCGTGGGCCCTACAATTACAATTACCCTCAGCAACTTTTATGTACCCATTTACACCTTGCTGGAGAGTGGCAAGTATAGAATAATGTCTTGCCAAAGGACGTTAGTGCAGGGCTGGGATTTGAACCCTCATCCCTTGGATTGAGAGTCAAGGGAATGAACCACTACACCCCGACATCTCTTGGATATTCACATCAAATGTCATCTCTTAAACCTCTCTTAATGCTTGTTCATATATGATCCGATAAAAACTCAATTTGGCAGTCTTTTCTTTCAAAAATATCTTTGCGTTTCTGCTTCTTTTATAATTTCACACTCATTTTTATCTTCCATAGATATTAACACACTATTCTAATTTAGAGAGAAAAAACAAAATCACAATTTTTTTTAATGTCTTTTTGATGTCATGTGACTGATTGAGTATTGTGGAATTGAAATGTGAGAGTAGATCAATATGGCATTTTAGTGTAGTACTGGCATCTCCGTAGATGCACTTCCAATGTTCTTTAGCGGTAAGAGCCTATAAAGTGTAGAAATAAAACTCAACTAGCACATGAGCTTTTATCTAGCCCTTTTTACCAACCAATAGTTTCTTTTTTTGTTTATATGTAAATATCATTGTATGAAATGAATTGCTGTATTGTTTTTGGTAAATAGATAAATCAATAAATCAATCAATCAGTCAATCAATCAATCAAGTGCCTCATGAATGCTGTCTGTAGTGCCATATTAAACTAAACCCTTCCTAATAAGCTTGAAACATCACATTGATCTTTCTGTATGAATATTTTGAACAGTGGTATATAGTACCTGGTAGGAATTTATTCCTTGAAATGCTAGAGCGCCGTATGGCAGCCGTGCTAAAGCCAGGGTAATAATCAGAAGCGCCAGGAAGGTCAAATCTGACTGACATGAGCGCTATACAAGAACCAATATTATTATTATTATTATTATAGAAATTACTAAACTGCCCCCTTAATTAACCAAGATCTGATTTTAGCACCAATGAAATAGTATGCATTATAGGAATTACTAACTGCCTCAAATTACTAACTACTAACTGCCTCATTCATGCTATCTACAGTGCTATACTAACCACTAAAAACCCTCTCTGTTGAGCTTGGAACACCTAGAGCATTTCCTTTAAACAGTTTTAATTGTGGTAGAAATTACCAACTGTGCCCTTAATCATCATTTACTGTAATAAGTAGTATCAATGAAATAGTATACAGTATAGAAATCACTAACTGCCTCATTCGTGCTATCTGCAGTGCCGGCCATATACTAACCACTAAACACTCTCTGATGAGCTTGGACCACCCATTTCCTTATGCTTCTTACAGCAGGGTTACTTCCCCGGTATCATCCAAGGTGTGTACGTCATCAAACCCAGAGGCTTCCTCCAGAAGACCTTCTCAGAGATGCGCTTCAAAGGACTCAAGGATGAATTCAAATTCAAGGTTTGTATTCCTTTAACCACCTTAAAGATATAGACCCGTAGTGTTAAAATTGCGGTTCAAGGGTTTTGGGTGCAAAGTATCCATTCAATATTGTTCAAATGTTGCCTTCAGAGGTTTAGATGGCAATACTTCAACCTAAATTCGCAAAAAAGCAGAAATATATGCCCAAATGTTCAATGTTTAAGTGCGTTCACGACATCTATCCAGGCCGGATCGATATGATAATTTACCATATATATCAATAAGTAGGCGGTTTCCCGGCAAAATTTGTATCATCACGTATTAGTCAGAACATATTCTTTCACATGATTGGTAATAAGAGCTTCCATTTCATATTTTGAGAGGGGGGGGGGGGCGCTTCTAAAACTGGTCTATACCTTTAAATAATCTTTTCTTTATGTGAAAGATAAAACCGAGTATAGAGGTCAAGTGAATGAATTATGAAAGAAACTACCTGGAAGCAATAGACCGGATTACTAACATATTCAAATTTACGGATGTTTCTTGGAATTCAGTCTGCATACATTACTTGTTGCTATGTCGGGCATGCCTCGGACAAGCTTTCGGGTTGTCAACAACAATCTATGTTTAATAAGTACCGGTATGCTCAACATTTGACAATGTTAGTAAACTGGTCTATTGAGGAAAACAAATTGTTAAGTTGTACGTTCGATCTGAGGTTTTGGCATCGTAGAAATGATAAGAAATCCACAGTCTTGCTAGATGTCGCATCTAGTGCTAAAACTTTCCAGCTGTTTGATGTCAGGTCTATTGATAGAAGGGCATATATGAGGAGCGATCCTATTCATGGGAGCTCTTGAAATCACCAGAAGAAGCACATTTTTAACTCACATCAATGCTAAGTTTAATAGGGGAATACAGAGAGAGAGAGAGAGAGAGAGAGAGAGAGAGAGGGGGAGAGAGAGAGAGAGAGAGAGAGAGGGGGGGTGGTGCAGACAGAAAAGGACATTCTGGCGCTAAGAGGAGAGAGAAAGAGACATAGCAAATGTGAGCTAAAGGGAAAATCAGAGAGACGGAGAGAGAGAGAGAGAGAGAGCAAGTCAAAATGGAAACAGACAGATCATTCCACGTATCTAATGCAAATCCTCGAGAGGCTATCAAGATCTGCCAATAATTTTTCCTTGAGAAAAAAAAAGACCTACATCTCGATCTTATATAGCATTAGCACAGCTAGAATTATCAGGACTGTGGTGTAGGGGGACCAGAAGTTCTTAGATCCGGCAAGCTTTTTGAGAGGGTTTTTTTTTCTTTCTGAGTGACGTGACCCGACGAATCATTGATTTCCCCCTTCCAATGCCCCCAGTATCCTGCCACAGATTAGTCTTCAAGCTCGCAGACTCGAACCTAGAAAATTAGAACCTTTTATGACATGAAACAGTTGCAATGTATTAAGGACAGCCTTTTTTTGCAGCATGATATTTTGACGAATCTGAACATAGACTCACAAAATTTGCAAAACATTTCATGCACGCAAAGTTTCCCGGTCTACAGTGTAGCCAAATATGGTGGAAGTATGTCATGGAATTTCTTTGCAAAAAGTGGTGAAGTTTCTTGTCAACTTATTACAAAACTGTTTGATGATTAGAGGGAAGGTTTGAAATCAATTTGTTTTTTGGTGGTGTTGTTTTGTAAAGTAAGGGACACTCTGATGAATACATTATGAATGGGCTTTAAAATATCAGTACAATTATTTTTCTTTTCAGAATCTTGTTTATTTTATCAGCCATTGGGAGCTATTATGTAAAAGAAAAAGGCAAAGTTAAAGAACTATTTGAAAATTGCACAAGACCCGATCCCCTTCCCACCTTTACTCCTTTGATCAATTCAATAAGATTGCCAAATATATGGATATACAAATTGAATTTCAAATACATGTAAATTAATGCATATATTTGGGGAGATAAATCTGCAGAGATGGAAAAATCTCCTCGGAAAATGATTTTGTTTTGGATTAATCTAAATTTTTGCTCAAAATAAAGGTTTGTAATCCTAGAGTAGGAGATAGGAACTCCTGCTCGACGTTCCGTGCGCTGGGTTTCCCCTTGCCAGTCCCGACAGACCCAAGAGTTTGATACTGCCCCCCTCCCCCTTGATCCCAAAAGGGATATGAGGCACATGCGTGACGTCACATGCCCCCTTTGTGCGAGCGCTTGCCGCTACCGTGTAGGTAGGTGTAGTCATGTTCAGCAGTGTGCGCTACCGAGCGAGCGTCTACCGAACAATGTTTTAATAGAGTACTTTGTGGACGTGAGTCAGAGACCAAAGCAACAGACAGATAGGTTGTTTGGAGATCGCAGTGGACGCCCACTCTCTCCCCCTCTCTATCTCTCTCTTCTCCTCTCTCTATCTTCTTCTTGTTCTACGACTGTTCCCTTGTGCTCGCACCTGTGGTATTCAAAACCCAGGTTTGGAGAACAAACACGGGTAGCAGTTAACGGTTAACAAAAGGAAGGAAGGAATTGCGGCGCTTCCCCACAGGAAATCTCTATTATTGTTCGTAACTGCCCCTTAGGAGTGTCGACGTCCCTTCACCCTACCAATTGGACCTATCAACACTTACGGGACTGTCCTTTGCCAACTTACAAGGCAGTTGCGAATCCTTCCCCCACCTCAAGACACATTCTTGGAATATATATGTGGTTGCCTTTGATGACCCACTGGTGACCGATCGCGGACACCAACGCGTCTTCTGCCCCGCTTGGATTATTCTCAAGGAACTATCGTCAACGCTGTATTCGCTCATCTTGGCATCTTAAAAGTCACCAATGAACTTCATTTTGTTTTGTTTTCGTAACTCTTTCTTGTTCAGATTGACCTAGTGGACAGCACCACCGAACTCCATGCTCGGATAGACCCCACGCAGCTTACCAACGAATTCGGTGGTACTTTGAACTTTGACCTCAAAGGGTGGATAGAAGACAGGATGGTAAGTAAAAACGTTTTCACAAGAAAAAATAATAATTCAGTCACACCACCAAATCATGTAATATGGTATGAGTTGAATGTCCTTCTTGCTCCAAACAGATGATTTGGCCATTGAGGTCAGTTCGGGTCAGATCGGGTCACCTCGGGTCACCTGGGGTCAGGTCAACTGTCATTTAGGTCTGGTGTAGGTGTCATCAGTGTGGCTGGGGTATAATACCGTACATGAAGAAAATGTTGATGCCTTGAGGATTTTTTGTTGTTGTTTTCAATGTATCTTTTTTTCAGACAGGAAACAGTGGATATATCCGAGGCCCCTCAATGTGAAAGAAATATTTTTTGCAGAATGTTAAAGATTTTAAAGATTCTTTATCTCAGTTTTATTCTGTGTTCAATTGGAGAAAAAACTTTGAAAATAGCAATGTCATCAAATTCATGATTGGAAAATCTGTGTCAAAAAAAGTTTTAATTTGGAGTTTTAATTTGGTAGGCCCCTTACTTTTGGTGCCTCTAATTTGTTATGTCATCAAAAAGAAAGTAAAACTAGCATTGACACAATTTGACCTTGGTAGTCCAGGCCTCTCTATATAAAATTGTGAAAGGTTTTTTTTTCTAGTGTGTATTTACATATATGCCCTTGTTCGACAGCTATCTTCTATTAATATATTCATGATCTCTATTTGTGGAAATGAAGGATATACTTCGAAGGGCTTACGCTAAACTGTATTTAGATTCAGCTTGAATAGTTGTTGTACAATCACTTGCAAAACTTTGATGTGAAAGGTTATTTTCTGAGGTATACGTTTAGGCCCTACTTCAACCGCTATCTTATATTAATATATTTTTAGAGCTTAGAGATGAAGAATATTCTGAAGGGGTTTTGGTAAAATGAATTTAGATTTAGCTCGATTGGTTGTACAGTCATCTGAGCAGTTTAACCGTGATAGGTTATTTTTCTAAGAGTATATGCCCTAGTTCAAGTGCTGTCTTCTATTAATATATTTATAACCTCTACTTGTGGAAATAAAGGATGTATCTGAAAGGGTTTTTCAGCATGAATAGCTCCTGCAAACAGAAAAGTATTTTTACATGGGCAAATTTGGATTAATATCTTGCCAAAGGACATTAGTGCTGAGCTTGGAAACCATTTTGAATCGTCGAAAGAGATGACGATTTAGGTTATCAGGCTAGTCTCTTAAGAGCGTTGGATAAAACTACAGTATACATAACTTTTTCTTTGCATTACCAGTTTATGGAGAACAGGATTTAAATATCCAATTACACTGATGTGTCATACTTGTTGATGTGTGCTGAAATAGCTAGTATACCATCAACATTAAGGCACAATCCATTTACTGCAATGTATCCCTGTATAGTTTTTAGATCATTATAAGGCCTGTCCTCATCAGCTCAAGTTTGCCAAATAACCCACACTTTTAACTATCCCAATTGCAAATTAGCAGCCCGCAGTTGCGTTTAGCACGATATTTGGTCTAGAAAATATCCTGAGAAATCTTGGTCTTGTTTCCAAAAGATTCCGCTATTTGGGAAAATAGCGGGCTAATTTGTGCCCATCCGAGCTAGTTGGTGATGAGCCTATCGGTCTGGTGAAAACGCAATTTTGAGCTTCGAGCTTTATTATTGGGAACCTACAAAAACAAGCTATGCTTTCCAGTAGGTTCCTGTTTCATTTCATAATTTTGAACTTACTTTGTAAACAATGTTCTTTGTTGTGCAAACAATTGTTGTATGAAATGAATAAAATCAATCAATCGATCAATATCCCGAGTCTGAAAATAGCGGGATTTGGCAAACTCAAGCTGATGAAGACAGGCATACCGGTATATAGAGAGCTGCTATTTAGCGTCTGATCTGGCTGGCGCATGACAATGGACAAGAGGGATCAATTTAAATTTGTTGCCGTGTTCCACACCCTCACATCCTGTCCCCGAGGATTATGGGATATGCTCCGACAAGCCTCTAAAGTACAACACCTGTAGTTTATATGCCTACCTATGTTTCAAGCTTTAGGCAAAATAGATGGCGATACACAACCGTGGTCTGAAAAAAATTCCCTATGTAAATCTAGTTTTGAACTTTAGTATTTAGATCATTTATATTGTAGTTGCATTTGCCACATTGTTTCATACATAGGCCAATAGTACATACTTCCTCATCATACATACAATCTCTAATGCTGGACTTATGGCAAATTCTTGCTCTTACGATATGTTTTCACACTCGGTTTTCTTAGCCTCGTACTATTTGCCTAATTAACCCGGGCTTAGGAAACCCATGCTGTTCTCACTCAAAACCAGACTATCTCTGGTTGGATTCAGGGTTTCTGTCTTCAAGGATTAGCATCTCTTTTCCTTAGCTTAGACTCTTTGTACTTCTGTTCTCATTTGAGGTCTTAGCACGCATTTTTAGAGATATATAGCATCTCAATTGCGGTGATAACCCTACTATTTTCCAGTGCCAAATAATCCTGTACTATCGGTAGGGCTCGCTTTGGTAGAACTGAGTGTGAAAAACGAAGTGGGCTTAGTTTGGCTCTGTACTATTGGTGGGGCTAAGACCTAGCCCCAACAATAATACAGGATAAGGAAAATTTCAATAATATTCTTCCTAAGAGCCTTGAGGGCCTTGTTATTATTATTACCCCAGCAAATGCCAGGTACCCATTTACACCTGGGTGGAGAGTGGCAAATGTTGATTAATATCTTGCCAAATGACATTAGCGCAGGGCTGGAATACAAACCCCCAACCCTTTAAGATTAAGAGAGTCTAGAGAACGACCCACTATGCAACCACACCACCACGTTCCGATAATTGATCTGTGATCAATTACTCAAGGCTTCATTTATTTCATCATGTAAGGGTTAGGGTTACAATTAGGTTTTATGTTAGGGGCTTGAGGTTAGTGTTAGGTATGTTGAAGTGAAGAATATGGTTAGTGTAGGAAATTGATGCAAAGAAATTGTCCCAGAAACAAGTGTTGTACAACCTATAGTAGCATCGCATGTTTCCATGAATGTATAGCGTAGGGCTGTGTGTCATAGAAAGGATTAGCGGAAAATTAGGTCAATTAGTATCCTGTGTTTTAATTAGACTATCGTTATACATACCAAGAGTCCAGAACCGTTCAAGTCCAGCAGTATATTAGCTGGCCTTACGTTAAGCACTGGTATTGCAACGTAATTGTCAGTCCCAGATAGATCATGAGATGTATAGCCTGTTGAGTCCACTTGAATGTTTGCGGAGATTCCTTTAACCCCTTGCGTATTGGAACCGAGTTGTTCTTGCATTCATTCTATGAGAAGGAGAGAATTTGGTAATGACAGGGTTAAACTGAATCAGTTTTTTAAAACTCATTAGGCGTGTCTTCATCATCTCGAGATTGCCATATAGCCCGCTATTTCTGATTTGGGATAATAATCCCAAAGTTACAAATCGTGTCTTCATCAGCTCAAGATTCGACTTCGAAACTTGAAACTCGACCTTGAGAAATTTGCTCGAGATATTTTGCTCAGCGTTAGCGCATAGTGCTAGTCTTCGGTCTGGTGAAGACGCACAGGACAAATAGCTGGATATTTTGAAAACTATCCCAAGATATCTTGGGATGACAATCCCGACCAAATATCCCGCTAATTTCTACTTCGGTCTAATGAGGACGCAAATTAGCAGGATGGTTTGCAATCGGGATAGTTCAAATTGCTGGATATTTGGCAATCTCGAGATAGTGAAAACAGGATTATTCATGACTGATGTTACATGTAGGCTGACTGCAAGGCATCTCTAAGATTTAATGGTAGCAGCTAAATTTGGCATTAAAACCAAAATCATTTACAGTTCTATAGAAGTTCTTCTGTCTCCTTCTATTTTGCTCTTTTTTTTACTCATACACTATCTCTCTCTCTCTATCTTTTTTTCTCTTTTCTTTCTCTCTCTCTCTTTCTCTCTTTTCTCTCTCTCTCTCTCTCTCTCTCTTTTCTCGCTCTTTATATCTCTCTCTCTCTCTCTCTCTTTCTCTTTCTCTCCTTCTCTCTCTCTCTCTCTCTCTTTCTCTCCTTCTGTCTCTCTCTTTCTCTCTCTCACATTTCTCTATCTCTCTCTCTCTCTCTTCCTCTCTCCCTCATGCACAAATTAATAAGGTATACATGTACTATCATAATGATTTTGCCTCAGTTTTGTTGACAATGTTTTAATTCATTCCCATTTCTCTATTCTATATTTACTATCATACACAATGCCACTTTTTTAATAACTTGCTCGAGATTTACGAAATGAGTTCACACAAGTTTGCTCACTCAAAAGGGCTAAATAGCTATCAGGTATTGGATTCAGTCCCATGCCTAATAAACCCTGTCATTACGAACGTGTCATAAACCATGAAGATAGATGTGATTAATACAAAGCTTCCGATCGATCGAGGCAACTATTATATTCCCCTTTTACGTTCAACTTTCTGTTCTTGCTTGCCTGCAGGGTTATCCTTGTTTCAAAAAGCTTTCTTAATTTCGTCTGTCATTTTTTCTTGTTCAGCTCAATTTCCCCAGGGACTTGTTTGCTAGATGTGTTTCTTTAGTAATTTCCATATAGAAAACCAATAATTAGCAAGCTCTCGGGTTCAAAATTCATTTTTAGGTCATGGAATTAGTTTCCACCCTGAGAAAATTCATGCTACACATCTTTTTACATGTGTACCCATCTTATAGTTTTCCAGATCACTCTCGCTCGCTGGCTCTCACTCTCTTACACACCTTGCACACATGCACACTCACATATACATGTACTCTCTCTTAATTTTCTTACATATATATACCGGTATATATAAAGCCATTATATTATCTTTATTGTTATTATCGTTGTTGTTTGCATTTTTAGTTCCTTGTCATTATACAACATTTGTCATCATTTCGACTGTTTTTCTTTAATAAAACAATAATGAATCTGATTTAAAAGCCATTTTAATAACTGGTTTTGCCTTGTTTTTTTTTCCCC